TTATAAACTTGATAGTTTTGACCTACCTACCACTATACTTTACCCTATCCAATTAATACTCTCTCAAACCATTTATATTAAAATCATGTTGAAAAAAATACAATTGGGTCGTGAATTTTACCATCCCTACTCATAGACATAAGTGGGTGGCTCTCCTATATACTTACTCATGTGGACTCCATTGTTTTGTTTCTAAAACTGAGAAAATAAAGTAAAAAATGAGATTATGTATAATATTTTTTTATAAAAATAATTTCCTAAAGCGTTTCTTATTTCTAAATCAATGAAACATAATTACAAAAATTGGTCATCAGGGTTTTAGATATTGACCGATATGATGGATAGGTGCCATTTTTTTTTTCCGCCTTCATATATCAGTACACACTAGTATATCAGTGACAATGAAATTTATACGTATTGACGAGTTCACAATACTATCAATTTCACAACCGCGTCACTTGATTCTCAAATATCACTCAAAACTTCAGATATTATTGCATTGCAACTAATATTGATTTATCTCCCAATATCGTTATTTAAAAAAATCTTCATTATAATTGTCTTGAATTAATTTATGGCCCATCAAAAGTTATTTAGTTTGTTGGGGACAAATAGATCTTCACCATCTATTTATGTGGGCTCTGGATAAAATTATATTCTTTTGTTTTATAGTCACCAAATAATTTGTAGTAACTTACACAAGTTGATAAACCAAACAATCATTGATTAGTAGGAGTAGAATCTCCTCTCAATCAAATCAGTTATTTCATGGGGGTAATTGTACAGAATAATACAAAGGATTTAGGTGGCCGTGATCAATATACATGCATCTGCCTTGGTTCTATGGATGCACAATATTGTTTGTTGTGTTTCCTCGGATGGAAACTTATCTTGTTGGACAGCTAGAATGGTAGGGCATGAAAGAGAGAGTACCATAAGGGCTTGTTTGGAATGATTCTTTTTTGTAAGATAATATTATATATTCAAAAAAGATTTGTATAAACTAGATACAATATAACTCTGGCCCACAAACACAAAATTTTAATTTATATCATACACTTAGGCAGTGTTTTTTTTTTTTTTACTAATTTGTCTTTTAGTGAAAAAAAAAAATCCAAACAAAATATCACATCAAATCCCATAATTATTTCACTTTTTTCTCTCACAAACATCACATCTAATCACAAAAAAATCCAATTATCTTTCCAAATATAAAAAAAAAAATTTCTTCAATAATATTCTATAACTAAAAAAATCTAACAAAAAACTCACTTTCCAAACACCCACTTAATTCTGAATAGATTTGATGGTTAAATTTCTGAATTTGAATGTTTTTTTGATATATCTATGGATTGGCAGGGCTAGTTGCATGCAGTGATGGGGTTAGGTGGATTATTGAGAGAGAGAGAGAGAGAGAGAGATCTCACAACAGAATGGAATGGAATGGGTGGGTGTGGGGTGGAGTCAAGATCCCCTTATTGCACTTTCTCTTTGTATTTTTATTTGAACCTAATTTTGATAATTTGAACCGTTCATATTTTAAGATTTATTTAGCATATCATACCTGTAAAAAATTAAGTTGATCGGATATCAGAAAGCATGTATTCGGAAAACTGTTTATTAAATTCTTTAAAAAAATAGTTTTTAGTTCGATTTTTCCGAACACATACTTTCTGATATCCGATCAATTTGATTTTTTACAGATATGATATACTGAAAAAATCTTAAAATATAAACGGTTCAAATTATCAAAATTGAGCCTAAAAATAGGTCCAATGATCCTGCAAGTAAAAAATAATGTGAGGAAGGGATCCTAATTCGTGGGGGTGAGGGGAGCAGCTAGCCCATGCTAAAGTGACACCTTTGCTAGGGTAAGAGGGGTCCCCCACATGCCTTTGTAGTGTGAGTCACTGACCCAACCACTCCATCAAGTCACCTCATATTTATGGGAAAAACAGCCCCCCTATATTCTCATCATGCTTGTGATCCATATGAAAAATATTCAGCAATTTCAAAATGTAGTACTTTTGATTGATGTCAATGTATAAATAGATAAATAAAAAATGAATACGCTCAACATTGCTTTTCCTATAGTTAAATAAGATGGCTCAAATCTGCTGTTGATTCACATCACTTAAGGCATGGTCGACACGTTAATAATTTCTTCTCCCTACTCCTTTGTGGGCCATCTTTGTATTTTGAAGGCAATATGTTTGGTATAATTTATTATAAATTAAAAATTGATAATGACAAACTTAAAGTTAAAACATTCATTTCTCACGCTCGAACACACTCAAAATAATAATTCAAAAAATAAATTACAAGTAAAATATAAACTTTTTGCATTATGAGAAGTCATTTTGCAGTAGAACAATTACTATGATGATTTAGATGAATGAGTTGGTCAGTATGCCCATACTTAAAAAAAAAAAAAAAAAAAAAAAAAGAAAAAGAAAAAGAAACAACAATACCTTAACGATTTATATGGAAACTTTTTTTTTTAGGAATCATGAAAATTATTTCAAAATTTACCTCAAAAATCGAGTACATAGTATAAAATTAAAATTAGTGAAATATGGATGATACCTGCAGTGAATGAAATATCTACTGATTTACTTTTGGAATATGTTTCCAAGTAAATTTTGTAAGTATGTTGTATTGTTGTTGAATAATATTTAATATTAAAATTATTTTGACAAATGATTGAAAAAAACATTTCCGGAATGGCTCGACAATTTTGGACTCATTTCTTAAGATAGATAGTTAAAAGCTCAAGCATGATGGTTTTATTTTATTTTATTTTCTTGGATTTCGTTTTGCTTTTTGTATTTTTGAAAACAATATATATATATATATATATAAAGTTTGCTCACATCGTTTTCATATTATTTTGTTTTTGTAAAAACCAGCTTTCAAAAAATTTAAAATAATTTTCTAGTATTTTGTAAAAAATTACTTATATTCAATTCAAAAATATATAATTCCAAAAACAAATTTTGAAAAATAAATATCCAAATCAATTTTAGAAAAATAAAAATTGCCAAATTACTGAGTTATTAAAAAATGAAAATAAAAAATAAAATGTGAAAACATAACCAAACGGGCTTTTGATAAAGATTTCTTCCATAGTCCATTTGGGTCTTTTTTTATTTTTTTAAAAAATAAAAATGAAAAAAATCTAAGAGTATAACCGTAAATTAACATGTCTACAGCAGAAGTTGATAATCAGAAGCAAGGGGTGAGCAATTTCTCAAAATCAGTTTTTTGAGTTAAAATAAGTTGTTAGAATCAGAAGATATTTGAAAGAAATTTAACCAAACAGTCTAAAATTACTTTTTCAAGACTAGAAGCTATAAGTTGGCTCAAAAAAGCCCAAACAAACACCTCCTTTATGTAACAATACTATAACAACCACTGAACCAATCAACAAACAATCTCTCTATATATACATTTGAAACTCAAGTAGCTGATCATATTATAAAAATCCAAATGCCTAATAAGATTCAACGAATCGTCGAAATAATCGAAGAAGATAAGAGTATGGTTTGAAAATGCTGAGCACAATCAAAAAACACAACCAAAGTTATGACAGAAATAATCTATTTTACATGAATTCAAAAGAGTACTTTAATATTTTTTTGAGAACTAGAGTCTCATCGAGAATGAAATAAAAGGTAAAAAAACTATAACTATAGGCCATAAGCAATAAACAAGACTCCCGCTTCTCAAAAAACACAAACTTCTCAATTTAATTATTTGCCACTCCCAACATCATTAGATTATTGTCTCTATATTTTTCTGTCATTTTAAATCAAAATCATTACAGCTAAACAGATACATGAATGTATAGGCTTCTTAAGGTGATTCACATTTTGAATTGTAAAGAATCTCCAGTGTTAAAATTGAAAAAAAGTTCTTCCTCCAATTTGGTATAAGACATACACATACATCTATCAATAAATTGCCTATTTTGAGGCCTGTCCAATAATACATTCTTTACTCTTTTTTCTACCCATAATGTGTGATCAGAGTCCAACAGTGATTCATTGTGTATTCTATAGCGATCCAATCTAGACAACAACCATTACAAGCTTATGAGTTGCTCTCACGTAGAAACAGAAGCCAAAAACACTTCCGACACAGATATTTACAGCAACTCGTAAGTCTTTCATGCAGCTGAGAGCTCTTACCATTCAAATTATATACTACATGCAGTGTCCGTTGATATAAAAATGATATCACGGCTCAATTATAATTTTTACCCACTAGCCCCTAGACAGTTTAATTTGTATGCCACCAAATGTGATTGGTAAAAATATCAGTTATCCTTGCAATTTCTGGAGTAACTTGAAGACAATCTAATCTGGGACTGAAAGACATCAAATTGTGCTCCAGATCCAAAAGATTTCGTGTTATTTGGGGAATCCGATAATAGAGGTTCATACACTGGATTCCTGTTGTTGGGTTGAGCAATGATAGATGGTTCTATGTTTCCCAATGACAATATGTGCCCTCCCATACGTTCAGCCTGCTGAAGTATGTTGATTTTGCTTGGTCTGTAAGTATACCTGAAGTACTTCAGAGCTAGCACTGGACCCATTCCTTTTCAAAATTTACCTGCTGAAAATTGCATATTGCATTTCCAGTTAGCATTTAAAATCCAATCAATTAAGGTCATGTTTGTTTGGGTGGGGACATGGCCTTGGGATTAGATCAATAATCCAACAAAGTACATAATCCGATATTTGGCTTAAGAAAATTAAGGTCCGTACTAATAATAGTCCATCCGGACATGGTATGCCCCATTGGGGGCTACTGAATCCCAAAATGGGGTGGGATACAAATGGAGAACTAAGGAGAAGTTTAGACTAGTTACTTAAATTGCAAACTAGATAGAATTTTATTAATCCCTCATCATAATCCTGAGTCAGTCCAAACATGGGATAGGATACACAATCCATCCAATATTAACAGTCCATGGTTATGACACTTTGATCCCATCTATGATCTAACACAATCCATCAAAACAAACATGGCCTAAGGGTTTGACTCCTCTCTACCCACCACATCTTTTCAGGTTTCTTAGGTGACCAACTACAACAAATTATATCAAGGCATTAACAGTCCCCAAAAAAGGACCAAATCTATGGGACTACTGAGATGACAGAGGGCATGAAATTCAATGGAAACGGTAGTGTCCCAGTAACACCATCATTTCATCATAACGAAAGCATATTACGGTAACAGCTCTTGAGTTCTGTATAAATGAAAACAGTACCCTACCATAATATAGCAAGTTGTAATTGGTCATCTAAGTTGCCAGAGGTGGAAACAGTCGAATGTGGTAAATGAAATAGTGCATAAAATGGAAAGTAAAACTCACAAACATAGTTATCCAATAAGACGGCTGTCTACAGAGGCGGAACATGATCGTGTACATCCCTGACGACGGAAGGGAACTAACAATCCAGTTGATGATATAGAAACCAGCTAGATTGCCCCATATGGCCAGAAGTTGAAATATTGTGTAGGAACTACATGCATAAACAGAAGTATAACAGTTAATTGGACTCAAAACTAAATTCAGTCAACATTTTTCATTGTTATAAAACAACCATATCCTCAAATTACAAGACTGAAGTTATGTAAAACAATCATCACTTCAAGATGTTAGTGAATTGCTCAAATGGGAAAATGAAAATATAACCTAGCAGGCACTAATTACCCCATAAATGAATTTGCATTTCCTCCCCTCATATGAAATGAAAGAATAAGACTTTGTTTGGCAATAAAAGAAGCTGAAATTACATCCAAGAGCATGAGTGACCAGATAGTATCTTACTTTGTCTCCAACGTAACAACAAAAGCTTGCAACCAAATACATCCAGAGAGTGCCACCATTGACATCTCCTCCATTTCACTTTTTTCGAAAGCATAAGCATGTATGGTGATTGCAAATACGACAATTGCCTGCAAACCATCTCCAGCATCAGCAAATTGGAACTACAGAATGTATGCAAGTCAACTGATAAAATTAAGAGCTTGCTTTCAAATGTAAGCAAAAATGTATACCTAACAGACAGAAGAATAGGTCAAATGATTAACCCCTTGAAGAATTTCGGATTGATTCTAACACTAATGGAACTATCACAAAAATTGTGGAGGGAAAAAAAAAACAATAATGTTCCCCCCACCATGCAGAAAAGAGAAGCCTATACCATTGTTAAGGCAATCTTTAAAATGTCAAAAATAACGAATAGAAACTTGTTTATCTTTCCTCTTCATTTTTCCAGTAAATTCCCATAAAGGATCCGTTTGATTTAAAAGCCATAAATGATGGAAATTGAAATGAAAGAAAAGAAAAGGAAAAGAAGACACAACTATTGTATGCATTTGATTAGGATGAAAATTTTACCAAAAAATAAGAATTCGAATTATAAGTAACAACCTTTATAATAAATTTAAACTTACTTGTATTTTCATGTGTTTTTTGCAAGAAACTAGAAGCTTAGTTATCATGCTATCATGAGTTGTACAAGAAAATTAACTTTCTTGTAACTTCCACCACTTTCATGCTAAACAAGCTAGGGTTTTTTTTTTTTTTTTTTCCCCTTCCATTTCGCTCACTTTCCACCATTTTCATCCTAACCAAACTTAGCCTAAGATACATGGCTTTCTCCACCACTCCAAAAAATAAAATAGAAACTAGTGGAAAAAAATAAAATAAAGGAAGAGAAAAAAAATAAAGGGTAAACTTCATTTAACCCCCTTGTCGTTTAACCACAGAGCACTTTATGGGAGGTTCTATTTACACGCACACACATTCCTCTTTTTACACATCCTTCTTAATTCACACACCAAAAAAAATTTACTCATCACGCACAATTTTGTTCCAGTTATATCCCCATACACACACTCCCAATCCACACACCTTCTTCCACACCAGTAAGCAACAATCAAACCCTAACCCTAACCCTAACCCTAACCAGCAACCACCTTGCCGGCGGCGATGCAACACTGGCAACGCTACCGCGACCCCCCCTCTCTCTCTCTCTCCTTTCAGTTGCGAAAAGGAAGGCGACGATGACTCGCAGACAAAAGGGGGTTTCGGATGTTGATGGTCGAACCAATGTATTTTGTTCTGATGTTGATAGTCGAACCAAATTCATTGGTTCGATGGTTGATTTCCGAATGGAGGCGATTCTTTCGACACTGGTAGTCCGAATGGTAAGAAAATGAGGCGATTCCACAATGCCCGACGGGGTAGGGAAGAGAGGAGGGAAGGCAATGGGTTCGCAGATGAAAGGGAGTTGCAGTGGTGAAGGAAGAGGTAATGGCGGCGATGGAGGAAAAGAGAGGCGGCGGCCATGGAGGATGGTGGTGAGTGATGGTTAGGGTTAGGGTTAGGTTTTTGGTTGATGGTTGATGGTTAGGGTTTGTTTGAAGAAGAAAGGGGTATTTTGGTAGTTTCATTTTTGGACTAAAATGTAATAAAAAAAAAATTCATTAAGTGTATGTAAAGAGGGTAAATGGTGTGTGCAAATAGAAGCTCCCACACTTTACCCCTGTGTTTTAAAAATAGCCAATTACCCCTCTTATGGTTTTGGTTGTTTTGCAATTTACCTCCCTACCGTCAATATTTCCGTCCAAATTGACAAAGTTTGCACCTCACGCTCCATAAATTCGAGTTGACAAGAAAGTAAATCAATTTAAAAAGCCAAATATAATATAAAAATACAGTTTTGCCCTTAACTTCATCTTCTTCCCCAAAAAACCCTCATCACCTTCAACCCTAATCATAAAAGCACCCCAATCACCCCCCAACATCCAGCCACCTTACTGTCACCATCCGGCTGCAAAGTCGCTGTCTCCCATGGTCGATATGGTGAAGAGAAAGATGACACCTTGTGTTGCAATCATTGTCGGCTTCTATGCTGCCCGTTACTATGACCCTGCTTCAATCTCCACTCTTTGATTGTCGACGTGTCCACCGTAGATGTCTGATGGTGAGAATCAGGGAGTGATGCACAATTTTGATCTTGTTTTTCTTTCAATCCCATCAATGGTTTCTCAGCAACCAACTTGATTACGCTTAACATTAATCAAATCAAGTAGAAGATCATGAACAAGAGATTTTGAAATAAAGAATAGAGTGGCTGCTTTCTGTCCAGAACTTTCCCTATTGACTATGGTCGGACTAATCAATACTCGACCAAATCAATACCCAATTTGATTATATATATATACATATATAAAAACTTGTGTATAAATAAACCTATATATATATATATATGAAGGGAAATTATATGTAAACCTGTGCATTTGTAAACCTGTGTATGCGTACCCCAATTTGATGTATTTATATGTAAATATTTATGTATATAATGAGTTGACTCAGTATAATCTTGTGTAAACCTGTGTATAAGTAATGAGTTGACACACTAATTTAAGAGGGTAAAATAGTAAATTTCTAATTCTGTTAACAGAGTTAGGTGTTGCATTTTAGTCCAAAACCATATGAGGGATATCTAACTATTTTCAAAAGACGGGGGGTAAAGTGCTATAGGGCTAAACCACAAGGGAGTAAAATGAATTTTGTCCAAAACTAAAAGAAAAGTTTTACTGATTTAGTTTGATTTCTTGCAAGTTCAGTTCAGTACTACTTTCGAGAAAAGGGTATAGCTAAGTCAAGAAAGGTTAGACCCATATTAGCAGGGACGGAACCAGACTTCTGAGAGAGGAGGAGCCATTAAATACTGACCGCAGATTTATAGTGTTGCTACAGTGGAATTAGAAACTGAATCCGTGGAAAATAAAAGATTAGATAAAGTAGCCAAAAGGAAGTATAGGGTTTTGAGAGAAATATTGCATATCTGAGGTCTAAAACAAGAAATACTTTGTTGAGATAATGCTAGCCCATGAAATTTCCATTATTTCAAACTATTGTTGAGCTGATTAGACGCTTGAGAAGATACTGAGCAACTCTGGAAGACATGTAACAGTAGAATGAAGATAAATGAAAACATATCATTTACGGTTACCTACTATAAAAGCAAAGAATTTGAATGGGGTGGAGGCGCATGGCCCCGCATAGTCCCTATCTAGGTTGGTCGCTATGTATTAGGCACTCTATTTGTGATAACCCCACCACGTAACATACTTATATTTAGTTAATTTTGAATTATGAACATATACTTTGTGTTTAATTTGCATGTATCTATCTAATTTGTGAATTATTTGTTATGATTTTTGTTCTAAATTTGAAATTCAAAGCCTTAATGACTTCAAAAACCAAAATTGATGAGTTTGATTAGGTTATCATAATTTTTAGTACCTTTTGCAAGGTTTGATTAAAATTTGATTCAATTCAGAAAAACTAATTAATTAGCCTTAAGCCTTGATTAGTTAACTTAATCCCTAATTAGTACATTAAGCTAATCTTGTGTATGTATATGTTAAGAGAAGAGGATTAGCTTACTTTGAGCTCAAAATCTGCTAAGAAAGAATTCTAAAGAGAGAGTGACTTCATCTTAGAGAGAGAGAGAGAGAGAGAGAGCTAGAAAACTTGAGGAATTGCTCGGAGGATTGAGGAATTAAGGAGAAGAGGTCAAGTTTTGGCTAGAACAAGCTTAATTGAAGACTCTAGGTAAGAGTTTGATCCTTAATTCATGAATTTAATTCATCTAGCTAATGAATTCAAGCAGGATTTGAAACTAAACTCAAGAAATGAGCTAAAAGATGATGAAGATGGAGTTAGACATACATGCATGCATAATTTTGTATAGTTTCATCATTTTGAGCATGATTTATATTATCTATGTTGAAATTAGAAGTTGTATCATACATGCATCCATGATTCATAGAGTTTTGAAGATGAATTTTGTGATTTGAGAGTTGTGGAAAAGAGTTTGGAACAAATTCATACATGCATGAAGATTTGAGTTTCATTTTGAAGAATTCTTGAAGTTTTGAGCTAAGGGTTTGAAATTGACTATGTATTCATGTTTATCAAAGTATTTTCAAGTGTTTTGGACCTTATGCTTTGAAGCTTAAAATTCTGTTTTGAAAACTCAGAATTCGACCTCATTGCTCGAGCTTTGAAGTTACCGCTCGAGCGCACAATAGGAGCATCCAATACTTTTGCAGACCTTGCAATCCGCTCGAGCGGCCAATTGTGCGTTAGAGCGAACTGCCCTGTTCCAGCATACTTTGGGAAGTTACATTCTATTGATATTTGCATTCTCATTCCTTTCTGAGCATTCTTAGGCATGAGTTAAGCCTCCCAAATGACCTAATGGATTAGAATTGGATTTAAAAGAATTTATAAGAATGATTCAAGTAAGCTTTGAGTTACAATGTGTATATGTTTATGTGTTGTGTAGGTTGATCCACAAAGACGCGACAACAATCTAATCGCCGTGAGTAGTATCTTAGTAAAGATATTTTCATATAATCTATTTTCTAAATGCTCTATTGTGGCAAGTTTTTTGAACTTATGGTTTCGTAAATATGAATGAGCTTTCTATTTGTTTGATCAACATGATATCTGTAAATGTGATTGACGAAGTATGAACATATATGATGGACCCAAGGTTGTTCTGTTTATCTGATAAAGTGGACCCAAGATTGTTCTAGATGTATGAAAAGTCTATAATATCGAATTTTGCATATGTAATTATGTATGTACGTATATTTTGGATATGAGTTATTAATGAATGAAATTTCTGTTCAAGCCATTTATGCACAGATCATTGAATAAAATTTTATTATTCTGCTTTTGCTTCTACTTCAGGCCCCATATATTTAATTATATTTTGGAATTCAGTCTGAGGCCGTAGGTAATCTCATGATTATTGGCCGGTTATGATCCAAACCTCCAAGGGCGGGTTCAGGTCGTGACACTATTCACCCAACACAAATCCCATTCAACATTTTCGTAATTTTTGTCATAGAAATCACAAATTGTGTAT